CAAACCTTTCCTTGGTCCAGTAGACGGCGTGTGGAACGGATAGGAATCTGGTTCACTGAGTTTTATTTAATTCAGGGTTGATGAAAGCCTTTTGTCACTGCTGCTGTTTTGATGCATCTATAGGAAACAAACAAAAACTTGCTAAACACGTCAGCAGCCTTGCACGCGTGGGGAGGGAAGCCTGGAATAATGAAAATGGTGGCGCTCTCTGAGCAGTTGGTGAGGTTTCCAGACCTGGTCTTCAGAACAGCAGAGAGAGGTGCACCAGGCCTATTACAAGGTTGTAATAACAGGCCAACAGTTTTTATTTTAATAAAAAATAAGTCTTGTTAGTACCCATGGGGGGAAAAAAAACTGGTGTGTCAAATCCCTTCATTGTGGATATCAATGCTTTAGCACAAACCCAAAGTTGATATTTTAGCTTTTAAAAAGCAAGTTGACAAAACATACCGCATTTAATGAAATAAATGATATTCAGATATGGCAAAAATTAGAAAAAGGGGATTCAAGAATGATTGCAATTTGAGTAAAACTGATATAATTGATTGATTATACTAACTTCAGATGGTTTTTTCGAAGGTGCTTATTGTTTGTTAACTAGGTGTCTAACAAGAAATCATTTTGTGTGTGTGTGTGTGTGTGCGCGCGCGTACATGCACACATGTGAGATCCACATATTTTGTCCTCAAGACAGAGCGTTTTAAAAGCGCCTGTAGTAAAGGCCAAACTTTTTCAGATTCTAATTCATTCTAATATCAGGATATAGTGTACTACTTACCAAGAATCCAAGTGTAGATTAAATTGTATAGGGTTTTCCCCATAGTCCTGACTAACCGATATGCTTTTTAGAGAACTCTATATCACAGGTGGCAAACACAAGGCCCGCAGGCTAAATCCAGCTCTCCGCCTTGTTTTATCCAGCCTGGCGCCTTGTTTCTACCCGGCAGCAGTGCTGAGCTCTTGTTTAACTGTTAAATAGTTACATTTTTACAGCCCTAAAATTACATTCAGCCCTTTGAAGGCAACTGCGAGGCTGATGTGGCCCCCAGTGAAAATGAGTTTGACACCCCTGCTCTATATGCAGGGAAAATAATTTTTGAGTAACCACTTCTTTCTGCTTTCTAGCCCTCCTTGAGTCTTCTTTCATTTTTAAAGTCAACGTGTTTACTCTGGCCATAGGAACCTTGCAAACGTGACTTCTTGCCAGGATGCTCACTTACTTCTAGACATACATGTGCACGCACACACATACACTGTACGTCAAACACACACATAAACACACAACACAGATACACACAAGCACACACACACACAGAAGACCATCCAGTTACCTCTCCCTCGTCCCCTGACCTCAGCTCAAACCCCACCTCTTCGGGGACAAGGTCACTCCCCTCTATAAGGCAAGCACATTGCACTCCATTCTCCTCTGTGGCACTTACCCTGCTGGTCGGTGAATATCCTTTTATTTCTATGGGCATGTATTTCAAAATCTCTCAGTCTTACTAGAGTGCAAGCTCCAGGAAGAGAGGGGTGGATGTGTAGGTCTTACTTACCAGCTGTAAAACGAGGGTTCTTTCAATAGCTACTTGTTGTTCAGTGACTGACTGGTTGATGGACCCCTAGGAGTAAAAATGGAATTTGCTAATGATGGGGTTTATTAAGATTCATTAATATGAAAAAGGAAGGGCCCTGGCTGGTACTTTGGATTAAGTGCTGGCCTGCGAACCAAAAGGTCACCAGTTCGATTCCCAGTCAGGGCACATGCCTGGGTAGCAGGCCAGGTCCCCAGTTGGGGGGCGTGCGAGAGGCAACCTATCAATGTATCTCTCCCATATTAATGTTTCTCTCCCTCTCTTTCTCCTTCCTTTCCCCTCTCTCTAAAATAATAACTACTTTTTTAAAAAACGAAAGAGAAAGCAACTGGGGTTGATTAGAAAGCAGGATAAAGTTTGGAAGGGAGAACAGGATTTCTCAGCAATCTATAATTAACCCAGTATGTTAGGCTCATGGTCCACCAGGTAGGAATGTCACCCCCAACCACCATCTAGGGGACGTTCTGCCCAAGGAAGATGATGTTGGTGCTGGAGAGGGTTGCCACTTCAAGCCAGAGTCATCTGAGTGTGAACCGGCACAACTAGAGTTTATTATTAGTGGGAGGTATCATTGCAGAAAATGTGAGGAGAAAGCCTTTACAACTGGGAGGGGCCTGGAGAGTCTCTCCAGGCACGCCCCTCCCTTCCTGAAAGCAGTAATAAACCACACCTCAGATAAAAGGGTTACACAATGCCCCTGTGTTTCCTTTTCTATTTTTGGAAAGCAGTCATTTGAGGGGGTGGGAGGGAATGTAGGAGCGGGGACTGAGAAGCTGCCTTCCTGTCACCCCCCTGGGCCCTCTGTGGCCTGTTCAGGTGCGGCTGGGCCAGAGCAGCTCTGCTCTGCTCTGCTCACTTGCCTGCCTAGCACCCTTCAGGACTCCTCCCGCTCGCGGCTCAGGGAACAGCCTCCACAGGCCACCTGGCCCTGGTCTGTGTCTCTAGCCTCAGCCTTCAACACCCTGTGTCCCCGACTCCTGTGTACTCGGCGGGACACCCCTGTGAACTGTCTCTTCCTAGAAACGGCACTACCTGGAACAACCTTCCACAACTGCCCTACCGAGCTAACTCGTATGCATTTCTTTGGGTGACTGTGAAAATAAATAGTTCTTTTTCCAGGAAGTCTTCCCGACTCTGCTTCCTTGTAGTAAGTGTGTCTGTGTGTGTGCACATATGAACATATATATACATACATACAATATAGACATTGTTTTCTGAGCCATTGGGGTGTCTTGCTTCTTTACCCATACTGAATTTAGCATGGATTTCCTAGGAACAAGAACATTTTCTTAAATAACCACCATATAATTATTATAAAATCAAGAAGTTCAGTATTATTAAAATACCATTCCCTAGTCTGCTTTTACATTCAAATCTTGCCCATTGTCCAAGAACATCCTCATGCCCATTCTTAGCTCCGCCTAGTTCAGGGTCCAGTCCAGTATCACACATCGCATGTAGGTGTCATCTCTTTTTATTCAGTCCTCTGCCCTTCTTTGACCTTTGACCTTTGAAAAACACAGGCCAGCTGTTTTATAGACTAGCCCCCCCGTTTGCACTTTTTCAGTGTTTCCCTGTGACTGCCCACAGAGGTGGCGTCATGTCCTTCCCAGTACATCAGCATATCAGGAGGCACAAGATGTCAAGTTACCCAGTCCTGGGGACTCAGGCTTTGATTTGGGGGGAAGGTCGTAACTGCCAGGTTTCTCCACCACAAAGCGATTCTTTTCACCATTATAATTAATAACTGGGGGGGGCGGGGGGGGAGATACTTTGAAACTATGGGAACGTCCCATCAAACTCTCGTCCACTAGTCTGGCATCCAGTTTATATCTGCTTCATTTTTAAAGAAGCTTATTTTTCGTTCTTAATAAAGAATATGATTATGATAAGTGGGCTTTTTAAACCACCCACCTGAAATACCCGCATCTCCCATACCAACCCAGCTTCTTTATTTATGAAGATCTTATCACCTACAATTATGAGAGGTCCCATAGGTAAGGGACCAGCCAAGGCAATATTTCTCATTTGCATTTTCAACTCTATTCAGGAATTTATCTTTTCATTTCCTTTTCTTTTACAATAAAAAAAATCCATAAAAATGACATATTTTTTATAATAAGAAAGAAGGTATATAATATTATTTCTGGCTTGTCAAATGTCATAATACTGCTTTTGGTCACATTATGATGGGCATCTATAATTGCATTTATTTTTTCATGCTTGCTACAAGGACTCACTTAAGACTCTGAATAGCTTCTTATAGCCTTGGAGTCTGTGGACTGAAAATCATTTGGATTGATTAAAGTCATGAGGAGAATTATGATAAGGGTCAGATCACATGGGCACCAAGAAGGGAAAATATTACCATTTAAACTAGAAGTGGGACTTTTTCTCCTTAAGTGAATCATATTTACAATGACAGAAGGGGTAGCTCATTGTACAATTCATAATAGCTGACATTTACTCATCCATTTATTCAAAAGAAAATCATCTTGCTAGCCTACTAGGTAAGAAGCATCATTACATACAACTTGTAACTACAAAGGATATCCTTGAATAGTATCCTTCTGGGTCTTCAGGCAAGCTTTGGCTAAAAGGAACCTTGAGAACTTGCTTAGAGCTTTCACTGAAAGAGCTCAAAAACTGAAATATCCTGGATAACACATCATTCGTCCACCATCTAGAGAAATCGTCTGCTTGACAAGTGCTCGGTTTCAGAACCTCCCGCAGACAGAGTAGAGAGAAAGAAAGGACTCTCCCTCCCCCAACTCCAGACAACCAGGTGAGAGAAAGCCATCTGGTGTTCCTGGAACCCCATACAGCACTTCCCAGTCACCCCGGGCCCCAGTGTCCTAGAGAATAACCTCTCTCTTCTGTCCCACCTATCACTGTCATTTCACGTTCTGGCCACAAATGGGGTTCTCCAAAATATCAATATCAGAAAATTTTGGAGCTGAAGAAAACCTAAAGAATAAATACCTTTCCCTTTAAGACATATCTCAACTTACTTTTACACACTGTCCAATTTGTTCCTCACAAAATGCTTGTGCAGAAACTGAAGACCAGCCAGGTGAAGGGAGAGTTCAGAGACAGCAATGAACCAGAGCTAGAATTCTGACCTCTGGGGTCACAGCCCATCAGACTGGTGGCCATCACTAGGTCATCAGAACCCCACCCTCTTAAATGCTTTCATGGCATTTATCCCTGTATTAGTTGGGTATTATTTAGATGATTATTTGCTCCATGTCTCTCACCCTAGAGCAAATATGGATGATGGGGATTGCACCTACTTACCTCACGTTGTGTCCCAGAATCTTCCTTGGGTGGGTGGGTGCACAAGGGATGAGCCAATACACCACGTGCATGTATTTCTTCTGACCGTAGCGACTTCTCATGTGTTTCCAGACCGTAGCCTGCTGCAGGAAATGGCCCTCTCGGTGGACTCATCCTGGCCCCGGTGGCAGTGGCGACTCAGAGATGACCACCTCCAGCATCCATCTGAAGCCACACCGCTGCTGTCCCCAGAGAAGGGGAGGCAGAGCTACAACCTGACACGGCAGCGGGTCGTGTTCCCCAACAACGACACATTCCACCGGGACTGGGCAAAGGTCTCCAGGAGATACTCCGGCAACCGGATCTGCACGACCAAGTACTCACTCCTCACCTTCCTGCCCCAGAACCTCCTGGAGCAGTTTCACAGGTGCACACGCCCTTGGCGAGCAAAACTCACTGTGACCAAGTATCTGCCGCTCAGAGAATCTCAGAGATGTGCACCATGGGCCCCCCCTTTTTTAGTATCCAAATGCATGTACATTGAGAAAGAAGCCATATCATTCATTCGATAAGTATTTATAAACATTCTACTCTGTGTTAGGCCATGTGTTGAGTTCTAGAAATACATGAGGGGGAAAAAAAAAGACCATCCTGAGTATATCATCCAGTGAAAGAGACATTAGTTTTACAAATTATATAAATAGATGTAAAATGATAACCCAGATAGGTATTTTCAAGGAAAGATATGTGGTGCTGCTGGAGCAAGAGGGAAGTCTGGCCTAGTTCGGAAAGACAGGGAAGACTTCCAGGAGGAACCGGTGATTGAAGTATAACCATCATTTCTTCGGAAAGAAGAGGATGCGTTAACTCGGTGGAAAGAGGCAGAGAGAAGTCGGGGAAGGGGGCCAGGAAAATGTTTCTACAGATGGATCTTCATGTGCAAAAGCCCTGTGGCAAGGAGGAGCAAGATGCACCTGGAAAACTTGAAAATGCAAGCCACTCTTTTTAGGATAATATATGCAAAAATCGCCTTTTAATTATAAAGCAAAACATGCACTTAGATATCAGCCTAAATTTTGTAATTATTATTATAAGATACCATTTACTAAGCAACCACCATGCTCCCAAACCTTCCGTTGTATACATAAATGTGACCCATGTACTAAGAACCCTTTAAAGTAGGCAACACTATTCTCATTTTACACAAGACAGAACATTCTCAGAAAGGTCACACAGCGAGTAAACAGTAGGAGCCAAGTTTGAATCTGGATAGATTTGGCTTCAAACCCCTTTCCGTGTTGTTCGAGGTGACGCTGAGAAAGAATGTCACTTGAGTCGGAGAAGGGTCAAGGGTAGGGGAGGAATAGGGTGGAGAGGGTATTTTTCTTCTCCGTGATGCTCACTCACACCTTGCTCGCCCCTTGCAGGTGGGCCAACCTCTACTTCCTGTTCCTGGTGATTCTGAACTGGATGCCCGCCATGGAGGTTTTCCACCGGGAAATCACCATGTTACCACTGGCCACTGTCCTGTTCATCATCATGGTCAAGGACGGCATGGAGGACTTCAAGAGATACCGCTTTGACAGAGAGATAAACTGCTCCCACATCCAGATATATGAGAGGTAAGGGGAATCACTCTTCTGTGTTCTCTCTTGCAAGTCAATTATGTAAAATCATCAGCACTCTCAAAAGACTGGTCTCTCTTCTCACGTATTTTCTTAAGTTCACATAATTTCAGTGATTCTCAAAAGGGCAATTTTTCCCTGCAGGGGACATTTGACAGTGTCTGGAGACATTTTTGTTGCTACTTTAGGAAGGAGGCTGCTACTGGAATCTATCTAATGGGCAAAGGCCAAGGATAATGCTAAATAAACATCTTACATAGATGAGACAGCCCCCCCTCACGACAAACAGTTACTATCCAACCCAAAATGTCAATAGTGCTGAGACTTAGAAACCTTAATTTAACTTGTGTAAACACTCATATAATTAAACACAAGGAAGTTATATTATTAAGAGTAGGGCTAAGAAGTCCAGTGTTGACTGGATCATCTCAGGAGACCAAGTTTAGGAGCAGATCTTTGGGGGGTAACAAGCAGTGTCTCCCAACCAGAAATTAAGTACCATTTTTCAAGCATCCGAGTCTCTTGATTAAAAATCCTTGCTTTTAGAGAACTTAATCAGGTAGGTTTTAGGACCCAGAGTTGGCACACCTGTTCCCAGCTGCTGAGGGTGGAAAAGAAAGATACCTGTGGGTGACTGGTGACGTCTGTCCACATTCCAGAAGGTGGAGTCTCAGCAGGTAGGAGGAAGTGGCCTGGCAAGTGCACACCTGTCCTTTGCAAACTCTTTCTTTCCTTGTTAGATTTCTCCCCCGGTGTTTGTACACCAGCTTTTTGTTTTTAATTTGCCTTTAAAAAGGAGAGAGAAGTTTCGTGCAGAGAAGGGAGGTAAAAGATGTCAGAGACATGACTCGCTGGTGGCTGAACAATGGCACTGAACAGGGAAAAACCTCTTCTGCATGGAGCTCACAAGCCATCCCGTGAGAATTAAAGACACGGGACTGAGCAGAGATGAGAAAGGAAGAAGGGAAGAGAAGGCGGAAGAAGAAAGAAGACAGGAAACGAGTGGTGGTCTCCAGCCTGCCCTTTGAAGGAGGGTCCCGCAAAGAGAACCCCAACAGGCACTACTGCGGGAACCAGATTAAGACCAGCAAGTACACCGTGCTGTCCTTCGTGCCCAAGAACATCTTTGAGCAGCTACACCGGTTTGCCAACATCTATTTTGTGGGCATCGCGGTTCTGAATTTCGTCCCCGTGGTCAATGCCTTCCAGCCCGAGGTGAACCTGATACCGATCTGTATCATCCTGGGGGTCACCGCCATCAAGGATGCCTGGGAAGACCTCCGGAGGTACAAATCCGATAAGGTGATCAATAACAGAGAGTGCCTCGTCTATAGCAGGTAACGTGAAACACTTCGGCTCACCTGGGGGGCCCAGCTCTGCTCTGCCTGTGGGTGCTACCCCTGTAGCTGCTGTGTGGAGAAGGGGTAAGGAGGGAGAGAACATCACATTACCTCAGTGGAGCTGTTCAGTTCTTCCCAGTGAAGACTATGGTGTGAAACCAAAAAACAAAACAAAACAAAACAGTAGAGGCTGGACTCAGATACTTTTTAAAATTAGGAGGTCTTTCTTAGATGGCATGCTCTTTGCTGTTTCAAACGTGTTTAGTATTTAAGAATCTTGCATACATGCTCACCTATCCTTGGTCCTGTGTGGCCATGAGCACAGTGGCGCGGGTTGGACACCCTCCAGGGCAGGAGGCATCGCTGTTGGCTGGGGGAGCTACTGGCAGAGAGTCGTATTAGGAGAAGTGGCATCAGAGACTCCACGCCTGGGCTAAACGCCGTCCCTGTCACTAGAGAAGTGCGTGACCTCAGGCGACTCGCTTAATCTCTCTGAGCCTCATTTTGTCATTTGTAAAATCGGAACACTTCCCTGGGGTGGTCACGATAATTGCACAAGGTAATCCTTGGAAAGCGCTTAGCACGATGCCTAACGTGTCATGAACGCTGCAATGGGTTTGTTTTTAGAGTGTAAAACTCCTATCAGCTCCATCGTCAAGCCTGCCCTTCGGCTTCCTCTCTGACGTTGTCCCAGCCAAAGTAAAAGCTGCACACCACCTGTCTTGCTGCCACATTATTTGTTATTTTATATGGGTCATTGCTTTACAAAGGTTCCACCAGCACTTGACCGGCCTCAGGTGTTAGGGAAAGGACATGCTCATGGTCAGGGAGGGAAGAGAGTAGAGTTATCATGTGTCTCAAGTGTGTGCCGGCTCGCATGGGCTGGAAGAAAGCGAGGCCACCGAGCCTGGGCTCACAGACGGGCTGCCCGACCGAGGGCTCTCTGGGTCAGCAGCCCATGCTTAGATGATGGACTCACTAGCGGGTGAGGGCGTGACGTCTTGGCGAATCAGGAGAATGTCTCGCCCAAGGAGCACTGTCTGTCTCACGTTTTCCCTCTGACTTTGTCAACTGTAATTCAGCACGAGTTCCGCAGTGGCTCTGGTCATTCTCGCTTCAAGGTGTGTGCTGCAGCTGTACGAGCAGGGACTGCGTCCTTCTGAGGAAGGGTCCTCGCCTCGTGGAAGGGAAGGAGACCCGTTTGGAGTTGGCTGGTGAGAGGGTTGCTGAGCCAAACTCCATTTGGAAAGTTGTCACCAGGGAGGCTTCTCACGCAGGTGACGCATGTGTCTCCAGGTCACCCCAAGAGGCTCCGTGTCCTCTGTCAGCTTCAGATGAGCTTCGGGTCTCCATGCGGGCAGGACCACACCTGCGTCTAAGAAACTGAATCACAAGGCTTTAGTTTGGGTTTGTGGTTGTTTTCTCAGCTGGGCCTAATTGTCCTGAATGTTGCTGGCACAACCTAGGGCTGAGATTGAGTCATCGCTCTCCTGTGAATAAGGAACGATAAAGAGAGGGGAACTAACTGTGGGGGTCAGACGTCTTTCTTTGACAAGGCTGGCTTTGTAGAAAGCATAGCTTTTCTTCTGTCATCGATCCACCCGTCACTTTTTGTTCCCTCCTTTGTTGTTATTTTCTTTCTTTCTTCACCCCCCTAGCCCCCCTATTAGAGAAGCTAGTGAGTCTGGAAGCTGGTTCCAGGGAGGAATGCACATGGGCCTCAACTAGCCTGGTCCTGTCCTCCCTGCCCTGCCAGGAATCCTGTCCGAAGCATCCCAGAATAATGGGCCTGTTCTTCGGGATGATGTCAGGGCGGATCAGACCACAGGCTGGCCTGTGCAGGGTACTGGCCCAACAGAGACTGGATGGCTGTAGTTCTTTCCTCAGAATAACTTCCAGGACGGCAGAAGGCCTAGGTGGTAACAATCCCAGCAAGAAGAGACATTCGTCCACAGGCTCACTGGCGGAGAGGGGCATTCGGGGTTTTGTGACAAAGTCTATTTAGTGGAAAAATAGGGACAGAGAGATGCATCTGAAGAAAGACATCCATGGCAAATATGTATATATGCTGGCCCTCCTGCTCCATGGTCCATGAAAGACTAAGAAAAAGTACCGAGTAAAGAAAACTATTCATCATTGATTCACTCGGTGTTGGTACAGACTTACTGAGCCTTGGGGATATTTGTTAATATTTCTTACTTTTTCCAGGAGAGCCAAATAATTGACTACAGGGACTGGAAGGAAATTGAATAAAATGGACTGGATACAAACAGGAAAGCCGTATTTGCGTGTGTGTGCTTATACATGGCAAGTGACACTTGGCCTCAGCGATAGGTGGCAGTAGAGAGTGGTGGGGACTGTGGCAAGGGGGTGGGGAGCATGCATTCATCTCAGGAGGCAGAGATGGCCGCTCAGCTGCAGCTGGTTACCATGTGGACGTACAGGGTGGGGCAAAAGTAGGTTTATAGTTGTGAGTACACAAAACAAAGTTCATTCTTTAATTATTTATTAATGACTGTGTTATCTTTCGATAAAAACAACTATAAACCTACTTTTGCCCCATGCAGTCGAGGGCTAATGTTGCTAGATTGCCTGAGTTTTATTAAGGGAGCTAGAATTAATATTTTTATTTGAAATAACCTGCTTTTTAAATGTTGGTAACTGACTGATTTTTCTCAAATACTTCAGACCTATTTTATTTGACATAAAGTTACGTTTCCTGGGAGCTCCCTACTTTGCAGCCTTTGCTTTACGGTATCCTAGGAATCTGGATTCTCGAAAAAGAATTATTGGATTCTTCTTTTGAGATTTATCTTCACAGAGGGAACCTCTTTACCCCTTTGGGCAGAGGGGGTGTGGTCTAGAAGTGAGCAGGCAGACCTAGGAGTCAGGGAGCCTACCCTCTCGGCCCAGATCTGCAGCTCACTGCTAGTACAGTCAACTCTTCGACAACGTGGTTTGGAGCTGCAAAGAGATTCATGTGTAAATGGAACCACACAGCTCAGACCCATCACTGATGTAATGGCTTAGAGAAGTCATTTAAGTCTCTGGGTCTCAGTTTGCACTTTTGTAACACTTTGGAGTCAGACTAGATCTTGAGCTGGAGATAAACACTGTGAAAGAACAGAACCCACAGCCAAATAAACTTGGGAAAAGGTACAACCATGCTCATTAACACAATAAAAGTTCCGAGAGACCCTTGATGATGACCCCTGAGTTAAACCAACTTTGTTCAACTCAGTTGTGTCTGTTGAAATGCCTTCTGCTCAAAGCAGCAGAAAGCTCAACTCAAATGAGTTTAAACAACAAAGAGACTTCTTGGTTTAAGTCACTACAACCATGCTGAGGTGGGCAGGTGATAAGGCAAGGTTCAGTATGTACCCTAGACCCAACACTTAGCTGTCCTTTTCATTCAGTCCCCTTTATGTCATCTTTATCTTCAGGCAAACTTCCCTCATGGTGATAAGATGGCTGCAGCAGCTCCAGCCTTCACCTCTACATGTGATAATTCACAAAGGGAAAAGAAAGGCACTCTAGAAGCACTCTTGGAGGCCAAGTCCCTCCTCACACCTCAGTGACCACAGAGGGTCACATGCCTGTCCTTGAATCTATCTCTGTGACCAGGAGATGGGCATATGCTAATTAGGTTCCATCTGA